TAACTTTATCTTTTACTGGTGTTTTTATATTTTTTTGGGCCTTCTCTGATCATATACTTCCACCTCTTGAATTTTGTTTTTAGTCTCATCATCCTAGATGATTTTTATCTCGTCCTAGACGATGCATTCAATCAACTCCTACCCTTTCATCTAAGGGCGGATGTGTTTTCTCTGTTTATCATCGTCCAGTATGAAACTTTATTATCCTGGATGAACAGATCAAATCCAATTTTGCTTACTGTGATCGGCCCGGATGATCCTCTTCGTCCTGGACAATATTCTTAAATCTTTGCTTAATCATTGGAAATCAGCCTGTACGATCCATATGTTCATCCTGGACGATACACATGGCAATACGTTTAAACCCTTTAAATTTGGCCGGTATAATTAATTATTGGTGATCATCCCGGATGATCCACCTATTCAACCCAGACGATAAATATGGAAATATTTTAAACATTTTTAAATTTGTCCAATACAATTCATTATTGTATGTCGTCCTGGATGATCCACCTAATCGGCCAGAATGGTCTTCTTTTTCAACAGTCATCCATCTTGACTCCTCGGGACGATTGTCTATGTCTTATCGTCCTCGATGATATATGATCATCCTAAATAGCTTTATCGCCTTTTTGACTAATTGTCCTAGACACAATTATTGCACCCAATCAGCCTGGACGATTCATTGATCGTCCTAAACGATTAGATAATTTCTTTATAAACCAAGCCATTCAATCAGTTTTTTTCTCACAAAATTCCTCTTCAAATCTCTTTTGCTCTTACTTCCCTTCTATTTTCTTGAATATGGCCGATAGAAAGAGGTCTCACTATCCTTCTAAGAGTTCCTTGAGGGCCAATCTGGATCCTCACTTCACCGAGGCAAGCGACCAAGCTGCCTATCTTAGGTACAAAATAGTCGGGATCACTATATCCTGGACTGTCAACCCACATATTATTTTCTATCATGTCCTAGATTTGTTTGCACACACTTCCTTAACCTTCCTTCTTACTCTCACTATCCCTTTCAATTCGGAATTACTTTTTGAATTTTTTGCTAGCCTTCACATAAATTCCTCTTTCACTGCTCTCCAATCATATGTGAATAGACGTCCCATTAAAATCACATATCAGGACTATCAAGAGCTTTTACAACTTTCCACCATATGGGACAAACTCCACACCCTATGTTCTGATCCTGACTATGACTGGGCTCTAGCCAACCACTTTCTAAGGAACACTAATGCTCACTTTTACTTTGGAGAGACTAGCACCTTACTCAAAGATGTTAGGACAATACAGCATATCCTTCCAACCTCAATTCTTCCAAATGTTGGTGATCGCGTTCATATCACTCATGTTCTATCGATTACCACTTTTTATATTTTGGCCTGTCGTGAATTCAATACCACTGATTTGATTTTTCACTACATTGAGCATCTAACTAGTATTTAAGATCCAGGATATATGAGGAAGCCCAATCTTGCCCTAGGACATATTATTTCCTATGTCTTAGAATAGAAATACAACCTTCATAAATCTTGCTCCACCAAATTTTCATCCTGCATTCTACTCAAACAACTCCTTCTACGTTCTTCATAGTACGCGTCTCCACTCGGGGCACTAGGAAGTTGAGGGAGCTTAGGAGGAGGCAGCTCCTACACCTGTTCCTACGCCTACTCCGCTCTACCAGCACTCTTAGATGGATCAGCTGGTGGAGAGATTCGACCAGTGGGAGACATAGTTCGAGACCTACATTGCTGTGCAGGAGCAACAATATACTGAGGCATTACTCGTTTTGACTCCTATGTGGCTCACCAGCAGCACCAGCACGACCATGATATGTCCTGGCTTAAGAAGCAATTTGTGACTTTTTTCAGTTACTTTCAGCCACATCCACCACCACCACCTCCTCCTTCGGATGATTAGGGGCCGTCTTTCTTTTAGTTTGCTTATTTTTATTTTTAATGTTGTTCTTCTGTTTAGTAGTTTTTGTTGTGTTTTTTTTTCCTCCTCCTTTTTGTGATGTTAAAAGGGGGAGTAGCTGTACTAGTTTGTACTGTTCTAGTATGTTTTCATTATTCTAGTTTGTTATATATTGGTTAAGTTGAACTATTTGAACTTTGTTTGTTTCTTCACCTATTTCCATTAAAACTATTTTGAACGGCTTCAATTATTTTTTGTGTTTGTCATCATCAAAAGAGGGAGATTGTTACAAATCTGATTTAAGGGAATATGATTTTGATAATAGTAAACACTTCTATTTCTCTATGACTACCTTACCTACTAACATTTTAGGTCCACAAGATCAAACTGCAATTTGAACCAACTCAAGATTGGGTAGACTAGATCTGAGTTAGTTTGTAAACTTTTCCTTTTCTTGAGTCTATTATAAAAGATGTGGTTCCTGATGCTAAGTAAACTTGCACACACACACTTGGGGGAAAATTTTTAACTATTTTTAGAGTCTCTATTTTTGGTCACATCATCCGGGACGATCGACAAATTGTCATAAACGATCAGTTAAAAATAGAAACCCTAATTAGGGCATCCTGATTAAGGCAACCATCATTAAGCTCATCGTCCTGGACGATATTTGTATCATCCGGGATGATAGGCTTAAATAAGAAAAAAATAAGCCGCCAGGTCTATTTAGGTAACTTTTATTTTTGGACATCGTCTAGGACAATGTCCTGGACAATGCAACATAATTATTCCTAAATTAATCTGGTAATTAAGAAAAGTAATTAAGGTTTGATTACTCGATCATATCAATCTTGATGATCACAGCATCGGCCGGGACGATCAGTTCACAAACCTTAGTTGTCCCCAGACCACCAAACATCAACTAGCTGCTATTCAGGGCAATGCTCTTGATGATTTTCATGGGTTTGAACTAATCGTCCGGGACGATCATGATATTGGCCTAGATAATCATGCTATTTTTCCATCATCCAGACATCCATTTAGTGTGATTTTCTGGATGATATTCAACGATTTGTACTAATCATACAAGACAATATGAATAAAAGCATTTTGATCGTCCCAAATCTTCTTGGCTGATTGAGCTTAATTTACACTGATCGTACAGGATGATATTTATATCGTTTTGGACGATAAAGTCAGTTTAATGCAATTAGGATCTATTATGAAGCTCTTTTATTTAAGACCTCTTGTACCTTTCAAGAGAGTATCTTTTGCTGTCATTCTGACCTGAGAGAGCTAAGAGAAGAGGGAGAGCAAGGGAGAGAGAGAGAGAGAGAGAGAGAGAGAGAGAGAGAGAGAGAGAGAATCTTATGAGGGGAAGTTTGTTAGGAGTTTCACAAAGGTTTCTCCAAGCAAGGATCTGTCATCATCCTTTATTCGTTGGGGGTTCTAGAGAGGTCTACTTCAGCATCTGATCAAGGTTCTCTGCATACTTCAAGAGAAAGCAAAAGAAGTTGGGTTCTCTATCTTCTTTTGGAGGAAGCAAAAGGAGTTGGGTTCTCTGCCTCACTTGGGTTGGTGGAAAGGAGATTTGTAAAGGCTTCTCCGTCTTACTGTGAGGGCAAAAGGAGAGACACTGAATTTAGTGCAATACTTGGAGGGCGTCTCCGGGAAGTGAACGTAACTCGTGTTGACCGAACCACTATAAATTTTTGTATTCTTTATTACTACTTCCGCATTTAATTTTCACACTTTGATTTCTATGGTGAATCTTGTTTTTTGTTTTAAGATTGTGTTTTGATTGAAAGATTTTTTAAAATATCAATTCACCCCCTTCTTGGTTAGCCTTGGTATTAGTTCATAAGGGCTTAACATCCTTGTCGAACTTTCAAGTGCCATCAGAGAACTTTCAACCAGCGCTAGGCTTTAGCCCAACCTTTGTCAGATCACCGCTCGGCCGCCGGCAACCTCCGAACTTCCACTCAATCACCGAGTGTTGTTAGACGTTCGCCCAATCTTCATCAGATCATTCCCCTTCAGTTGAACTTCTACTCGGACGCCGTCGAACGTCTGCTTGAAAATTGCCAGACATTTGACTGACTCTCCATGCTACTGTGATTTTATCGCCTCAAAGTTAAGGGACGGGTCAACCTTTGTAATTCACTTAAATTTAGTGGAATCATTTCTCTGGGCGAGGCCCCATGATTTTTCTCTCTTCGGGTTTTCCATGTAAAAAAGATCGGGTGTTTTATTTCTCTCTCCATGTTTGTGTAGTTGATATTCATGCATCGCTAAGCGAAAAGTTTATCACTCCACCGTCGTGAATATTCTAGCCAGCAACAATTTTATTTTTTTACTTTTGAGCCAATTAAGGCAAACTCGCACACAAATCACATATGTAAGTTTCAAACCCAAGACTTCTTGATTGGAAGCCAAAGCTCCCAATCAATAGATCAAAATAACCTGCGTAATGAAAATATTTTTAAATATATGAAAATTTAAAGTGGTCCTGCAAAAGGACCTAATGCTAAAAGCATGCACAAAACAACCCATCACCAAGAACCTGCACTAACCATGTTGAGACAAGATAGTCCAATAAAAAATCCAACAAATTTAGAATCCCATTGTCGGCGTGCTGAACACGAGAATTAATATGGGCCACCTCAACGAACTCAACTCAATAACAACCCCTACCAACCAACACCCATAAGAACTTCGCTTGTAAGAACTTCCAACTTCTTACGGTTTTCCAAATGAGAGGAGAACGAGCCTTTGAAGAAAAGAAGTGCTTGTTAGTTGAAGACATCTACTAGTTGTGCCTTCACTATCACTACACACAACATTACTATGAGATTCAATATATTTTTTTAATGTTTATGGGGTCCACGAGTTCAGCAACACAATAAAAATAAGCTTGATATACGAGAATACTTTTGTGGATGGAGAAAATATCATCTAAACACCATCACAATCGAGTTGCAATGTGCTATTGGGTCACAATCGAGTCCCATTATGCGCTATAAGTGATTCAATTTGCATTTTCCGGCCACAGGGGCGACCAATATATGGCTCTATAAATAACAGTTGGGGTAATTAGCTGCAATTTAAGTGGGAGAGGAGCGCGATAGCAAAAAGCCAATTTGGCTCTTATTGTTTGCCCACTCGTCCAACACAAATTGAACTTGTGAGGAAGAGAAATAATGGTTTGCATAACAGGATCTTCCTTCGACGATTTCATCATAATCAGTGGCTTGCTTCTTGTTCAAGCACTCTATGGCTTCTACTCAATCTTTCTCAACCGTATCTTAGCTTTAGGATTCAGCTCTCTCTTCTTGATTTTTACAGGAAGCTTTGCAGGTGCTATCTTCCTTCTTCCATTTGCAATTGCATTCGAGAGGTACGTATTTCTCCATTAATTATTTCTGAGCCATTTGTTCTGATGAGATTTTAATGCGGGCTGAATCTTGATCTGCTAATTTTTGTGAAGAAAAAAATGGCCGGCGAGGATTACAGCTGCTATTATGGTTCAGTTTGGTTTGATAGCCTTGGGAGGGTAAGAGATTAAGCTATTTTAATAAGTCTTCTTAAACATAAAACAAACTTGTTATTTTTTATTTATCCATTTACGTATTAAAAAAAAAAGATTATAGTTATCAATCTGTCTTCTTAACATCAGTGAATTACCTAGTCAAAAAAGAATCCATATGATTTACTGTATTTTTCAGATTATTATGCACTGAATTAATTATTTTATGCTATTTGTTTCTTCTCATTTTTTGGGTATCTTTATTGCAATGTTTAAAATTTTGCAAAGCTCACAAAGTTTGGTAAAGCTTGTATAACCTAATTCAGGATGTTATTTAAATTTCATTGCACATGCTGGATAAGCTTCTGAAGGAAGTTTATTACTTTATTTTAATGTGGTTAAACATCAATTTATTTGATTGCACTTTTTTTATAAATAATATAAGCTTCCGTATCATCAATCATGCAAATATTGCATTTTTATAAATAAAGTGGCAAATTATCGATCAAGTTTCTTTTGGTCGGCTGATTATTTCTTGAACTTAATTTGGTAAACAGATCATCTGTTATAATCCTACTTTTAAGTAGTGGACTATGTTTCCCATACAAAAAAATAAATAAATGTATTGGACTATTTCAAAAAGTTGTAACCCATTTTCTTGAGTAATCACAATGCTTTACTTTTAGTTTGTTCGTATCCAATTAAAGCGAGGAGAGATTTTAGCTCCGAATATCTTCCGTAATCTTCGTTAAAGAAAAAATATTTGATTTTTTTTTTATATATATATGGATGCGGGATTCGTAGTTTTATTATAATTCTTAAAAAAAATATGGGATGAAAAATAAGGTAGAGAGCACAAAGAAATAGAAACCATGTGAGTTCAATAGCTCGTTGATTTGGAAAAAAAAATCAAGAAATAAAAAAATTTGCGTAGAAAATATAGCATATATCTAAATCTATATTACTGGCTTTTTTTTTTTATCAAATTAGACATTTTGGTCTATTTATCTATCTCAAAGCGACAAGCAATGATCATATCGTCATAAAATCTGTCATGGTATCCGTAATCAATGATTTTCGTCCAATAAGATGGTTTAATTATTATGCATAATACTTCGTTTTCTTTTCCTGTCAGGGTCACTATGTTTCAAGGTCTACTACTTCTGGGAATCAAAAGAACAACTCCTGCCATTGCCTCTGCAATGCCAAATCTTATTCCCGGCTTTGTCTTCGTCATTGCAGCAATTCTTAGGTAAGAACAGAATAAGTCAATGGCATTTAATGATTATATCGACATCATATTTCGATAACTATTACTTATTCTTGCATAGTTTATCTTTTGAGCAAAATATGATCAATTTAGGATTCAATTGGGACGGCTTTCTTACTACTTCTTAACTTAATTTAAAATTTTTATAATATAAAGTTGCTTTTAGAAGCAGTAAAAAAGCCGTTCCAAATCAAACCTTTATCTTACAAAATCACACGTTGCTTCTATTTAGCCCATTAAATATATAAAATTGATCTAAATTATACTTTTTAGGATTAAATTGGGAGCAATTTAATAGAGTTAAAAGGCTAAATTTGATATCAAATTTTTATCACAATTATAACATAAGAGATAGTTGTAGTAAATTTAATATAGTCCTGGAACTAAAATTGGAGCAACTTGCTACCTTGAAATTAAATTGATCATTAGTATAGTCTTGGAACTAAAATTTGAGCAACATGCTACCTTGAAATTAAATTGATCATAGATGAATTGAGATTTTTTTCTTTTGGCTCTATTAAAATGATTTTTTAGAGGATATTTAGTGAGATTTTGAAATATAGTTTAATTTTAAGTAAAACTATAATACAATTTTTTTTTCTCACAAAAACTCAAAATTTTGCAAATAAAACTATAATACAATTGGTGCAAATAAAGATTAAAATTCTAACAATATTTCCATTGCTGCATAGATTTGAAAAATTCTCTATTTGGTGCAAATATAGTCAAGTCAAGGTCCTGGGAACATTTGTGTGCTTGGGTGGTGCCATAGCTATGACCTTGCTACAGAACCCAACAGCATCAAAGATATTATTTTTTTTGGATGACTCTGCTGAAGAAAATATTTATAAGGATTGGCTCATGGGCTGCTTCTACCTCCTAGCCGCAATCATCACTGCTTCCTGCATCATGGTTTTGCAAGTTGGTATTTGCATACTGTTTTCTCTTCCTGCATCATGTGAGATCAAGCACATATTTATGATTCAGATATATATTATCAATATTTTGCTTCTTTCAATAAAATATTAAAATTTTCAAAATAATATGCTACAACATAATGCATTATTTTGAGTTTTTAAAAGAATTTTGCATGATTAACTTACTTCATAATCCACATTATTATTTTTTATTAGAAAATATCATTATATTTGCAGTATAATAAAGAATAATCATTACATTCAGGTTATAAACCTTTCATCCACTGCAGTGTTATGTACGTTAAAATGCAAATCACATGCAAAAATTTGTGCAATTAGCAACATAAATTTGACTTATTTATTTATTTACTTATTTTGCTTGAGAAATTTTAAACCTTCATTATGAAAATTACAATATTATGTAGGATCATTGCATCACTTTCATTTTATCTGTTTTTGTCTTAATTCTAGTGTAATAATATTAGCAGTCCACAACGTGAGAGTTAATACTGTCTTACGTTGTAACAATTGAAAGGCATGCTGCAATTACAAAAGTACACGCAATTGATTTATTTTCCAAATGGTGGCTATTGAACAATATCAATTGACCAAATGTTTGTTTACAGGCAGCAACAATGGTCAGCTTTCCGGCACCATTCTCACTCTGTGTCATAACATCTTTGATAGGTGCCATCCTAACTGGAATTCTGCAAATACTCACTGAAGGAAAATTAAATGCCGGCTCTTCAAATGTGGGCATTTCATTCATAATTCTCGCCGTTGTCGTGGTAAATATACAATTATTTCATGGAACTCTTGTTTTCTCCCTATTCTACACTAAACGAGTTGGAAGGCACCAATTTTTATTTCATACAACAACAACAACATCAAGCCTTTATCCCACTACGTGGGGTCGGCTACATGAATCCTTTTTCTCCATTGTGTCCTATTAAAAGTCAAATTCTCGTTTAAATCTAATAAAGAAAGATCATTCCTAATATTTTCTAACCAACTCTTTTTAGGTCTACCCCTACCTTTCTTAATATAAGTCAAATCTAATACCTCTACTCTCCTAACCGGGTCATCGGAAGGCCGCCGTTTGATGTGACCAAACCATCTAAGGCGACTCTCTCTAATCTTATCTTCTACTGGAGCTACTCCAACCTTTTCACGTATATGCTCATTGTCGTTCATGTGTTAGCCTTAGGGGCAATTTGGTCTTTGTATTTTTTCTTTATTCCTTTGGCTATTTAAGGCCTTCTCCTCTTCATGAGAGGTTAATGGATGGATATTTGAATGAAAATTGTGTTTTGTTTCTACTTCTTCTTGCATGAGAGCTAGAGAAGGGAGAGAGCTCAAGGGGAGCAAATTGCAAGGCCCACCAGTCGTTGGAAGAGTCCGCGGCTCGTGGTTAAGTTCTTTTTATCTTATTTGTGCTTTCTTCATCCACATCCAACACCCAATTTTCACTCCGCTTATTCGAAATCCGAGCCCCAACTTCATCCCGCAGTAAATCCAAGGGAGCCAACCCGCCGGCCTTCCTCTTGGCCGCCGGCTACCTTCCGCCACCACCTCCTCCACAACCCCAACCGCCGGCCACCTTCCCCATTCCCCACTTAATCAAATTTTGAAAATTCAAAATTGATTGAGTTCCAAAATTTCCTAATTTGTCAAAGCCAAATTAGGAAAGTTTTCAAATTCAAAACAATTTGAAATTCAAATTGAAAAGGATCTCATAATCTAGCTTCCTAATGCATACGTGCTAATTTGGAAGGCTCATAAATTGCTCCCACACCTCCTCTCCCTCTCTTGAAACCGCCGGCCCCATGAGGGTTTCTCCCCTCTTTGAATGCTTCATTAATTCTCCAATTAAAGCATTCATGGCCACCCATTTGAATTCAAATTTCAAAATAAAATTTCCCGCAGCTGTTGGCTGATTTTTCCTTCCCAAATCCCTTCCAAAGCTCCAGGAAAACTGCTGCCCAACATCTCAATTTGCTGTTTGGAAATTCCTGCAGCAGCCCACCGACGTCCAGCCATCCCGGGAGCGACAATTGCTGTCCAGATCTCAGGGACAGCCGTTCTTCCTATTTAGGAGTTCCCCTGAGTTCAATAGGTTGCTATCCTGTTGACCACAGCAAACTAGGGTGCTGTCCAACCGTCCAGAACCAGTCCTAGCTGCTGTCCTGAGGAGATCTACTGTCGTCCAGCTGCCCGAAGAGGCTTCCATTGTTGTTGAGTAGTTCCAGAAGTTTGAAGGCTGCTGCCCCTTCATTCCAGCCATCGTCATAGCTTCATAACTCCTTTTTTTTGGGTAAACTCTTCACTCACTCTCTATCTTCTAAGTTAACTCTACTCGTGGTTATAATTTGATTCACAAAGCACATGTTTCATCGCCTCCGCTAAACCTAGTATTTAAATGAGTTATGAGAGAGGCCCTTTATAATACTAATCTTATTGTTAGCATTGGAATTTCTCGTTGAAACCACTCATGTATGCAAAGTAAGACTTAGTTGACTATTTAATGATCTCAACCTCTCGCATGTGTTTAGACCTAAGCTATTTTATCACCTTAATGTTATCTTATCGTTTACATCAATAGAGGATTTTGCTTAACATTGCTCTCTAAAATTTACAAGTGCAAACTTCCCTAAGCAAGTTACTTTCGCATGGATTTTGTCTCACATCAATTATGCTTCTCTTTCAATGGCCAACATTCGGCACCATAAAGCATTGCAGGCCTCACTACCATCTTATAGAATTTTCCCTTAAGTTTGAGGGGTACATTTCTATCACATAACAAGCCCGATGCATTCCTCCACTTCAACCATCCAATTTGAATTCTGCTGATAATATCCCCATCTATTTCACCATCACTCTGAACAATAGATCCAAAATATCTAAAACGTGTACTCTTATTTCATAAACGAAAAAAAAAAAGAATTATTTTATTATATCTTAATTTAAAAATATGGGATAATGAGAACATATCTTGACAATTATCTTATTGAATTTTATGAAGTTTTTACTTCAATATGGGGTAACTCAGTTAATCAATATATCCTAGCTAATTTTTTCATATAGATTGAGCCAAAAATTTTAAGTTCTTTAGACGAGAAAAAATTTCTTGATTTCAGATTGAGAAAAAATCTTAATTTCTTTATACTGTAAAAAAATTCTTTATTTCTGTTTTCCTTTTTTCAGGTATCAGTGATTAGCAGTACTTGTGTTGTTTATCAAACCTGGTGTATTAGAAAGAAGGGACCAGTTCTTGTTTCCATCTTCAGCCCCATTCAAACAGTTTGTGCAACAAGTCTCTCGATGATTTTGTTTGGGCAATCCATCAGTCTTGGAAGGTATTTAGTGGAATTTATTTGTCAAATAATAGATATTTAATCTATTTTAGCTGAAATTGTTATATTAAGCCAAAACATCGAATTCATTTAAAGTTACCTTACGTTTTTGGTAATACTTCAATCATAAAAAGGCCTTTAGAAGACTATCCCAATTCCCAATTTTATTAATCATGAGTTTTTTCAAGAGGGATTAATTTTTTCTTTTGTTTTGTTCCTTTATTTTCTTATCTATCTACATTAACATTTGAGGTCTATCTGCAGCTCAATTGGAATTCTTATCATGATCATAGGGCTTTATTTGGTCCTATGGGCAAAAAGAAGAGAATGTCCTGAACCAATTGAAGAGAACCAAAACTTGCCACATGTTCCTCTTGATATAGAGAAACCTCTATTGTCATAGAATTTTATATAAGTTATAGTTTCTTTCTTAGTATCATCATGTTTGTAAAGAATTGTAGTTCCAGGTCTCTCTAGAATTTGTGATATCTAATGGTAGAGCTTTATTTTAAGTTTTAAGTTAATGAGTTCGGGAGTTTGAGGTTCAATTATAATCATTGCTCTCCAGTTAAAGGAAGGATAACAATGATTATGGGCGTTTGTTTAGAAAAATGTTTTGTCTCATTTAGAGTGTTTTTGTTTTTTTAATTTTTTTTATGCACATTAATAAAGATAAATTATTACTATTTTATTATAAAAATTAAAGGAATGTGCATACTTATAATTTATATCCCTCAATATGATCATACTTCTGATTAATATTCAATTTTTTTAAGTATATTTTTATCAGTTATTTAAACATCACATAAAGAATGAAAATGTGTGGCAACATAAGGCAACTTATGATACTTGAAATCGTTTTCTTTTAATATTATATTAGGTGATGGAGGTTGAATCATATCAACATAGACAACTTTATAGAGATAGTTTTGGGAAGCATTTCTATTAAAAAAAAAAAATTTGTTGCCTGAAGAGTGCCATACTCACCAGATCGGTGCCTAAAAATAATTTGTAAAATTTAATAATTGAGAGGTTAGTAGTACAAACCACAAAATGTATTTGTTAGCTTCGAAATTAATGATGCTGGTAAAAGATTTAGATTATACTGCATTTTGCATGTTGGTGTTTGTTATCAGGCCCCCACAAGCTACTGGGATGTCAACCTCTTTATAGAAGAACAAAAAAGGGGGAAATCCTGCATACATATACCTTACCCGTCGGATCCACGAATCCCGCTGAATCGACGCCGATTCGCGTCATATCTCCGCACTTCCTGCGCAAAAACCGCCCTCGATCGCATCCCGGATCGCGCCTTTAAAACGAGATGGAAATCCCCCCATTCGCCACCTCTCTTCCACACACACGAAGCTCACGATTCCTCTCCCACGACCAGCCCTAGCTCCCATTGCCTGCTCCGACCGGAAGACCCAACCTCCAATCCCTCTAATCTTCCACGAACCTCTTCCTCTAAGCCGAATCCAGTAGCCCTTCTCACAATAGATCTCCCGCTCCACTCTTGCCGTAGCCTCACAGAATCACGAAACTCAGAGAGAGAGAGAGAGAGAGAGAGAGAGCTCCTTACCTGCCCCATCCCGTCGCCCTTGCTGGCTCCGACCAAATCCCATATACCCAGTGGCTCAGGAGCCTAAATTAAAATAGTTATATTTGTGATCTCATTCATAAGGTTATAATATATTAAAATAGTTTCATTTATCGTCTCATTATCGAAGCCAAGAGGAGCTGTATGATCAAAATTAAGAATGAAAATAACATGATCCTTAGAGCTTAAAAGACAAAAACATCTACCACGGACGACCTTCGTTTGGGGGTGATAAAGGAGCGAAAGTAAAAATGAAAATCGTGCTCGAGATCATGACTCGTGAGTCGCGAGATGAGAGTAAAGGGGAAAACGAACCATTGTTTTTTTTCATGTGTCCACAAAAAAATATTGATGACTTCTTTGGATTAATAAACAACTTTAATTATGTAAGTGGAGAGAGGAACTGAATATACTATGGATTTGGTTGAGTGTGCTGTCATGAGTGCGCGGTCACAGCATTTCTATTACGCAAAAAGAGCAAGGAAAAATAAAACCCTTCACAGTAATTAATTAGATCAATAGCACTGCAAAAAATAATTAGATAGTTGGATGGTAATTTAATATTTAATAATTATTATTTGATAATCAATAGTTAATTAATGATAAAAAATTTAATAAAATCATATTTAAATAATTAAATGTTTTAAATAATAACTAATTAAATAAACCTGCATCCAACTCTAAGTCAACATATGTTTTCATCATTTCAGTCCACAATGAAAACTCATTCCTCTCTCTCTCTTTATTATTAAATTATAATTATTATAATTAAATAGTTTAATTATATTTAATAATAATAATAATAATACGTTTTAATTAAAATAGATTATAATTAATTTATAATTATTACGGTTAATTATTTTCATTAATAATTAACTATAAATTATTAAAATTAATTATAATTAACTATTTTAATTTAAATTAGTTATTATTAGTTATAATTAAATATGATTAATTATTGTAATTATAATTAATTATTCTTAAATTATAATTAATTATCATTAATTATAAGTAAGTATAATTAATTAATTGATTTAAAAATAAGAAATTGTTTTGTGCACTTTTTGACATCATCGTCACCGATTCAAGCAAAGGTATAATATTTCTAACCCAAAATTCCTCTTGTGGCTTACGACGGGCCGGCAAACCCCCTACACGCTCACGTAGCGTTGTAAGGAGGGAAACCAGCGCGACGCTTGCGACGAACCTAAAATTCTTTTCTTGTGGCTTGCAACGGGCTGTCAAACCCTCTACGTGCTCACGTAGCCTTGTAGGGAGGGAAACCGGTGCAGTTCTTGCGACGACTTAAATCCTTTTAAATGCTAGCGACGAGCCCGCAAACCCCCTACGTGCTCACGTAGCATTATAGGGAGGGAAACCGGTGCAGCACTTGCGGCGAGGGGGATAAAAAAAATGTAATAAGTACCCCCAAATGTTCACGTAATGCAGAGGGGGGAATTTTGTGCTCTTTTCAAAATGTGTTCCAAACCATTAAACGCTCACGCAGCAGGCGGGGATTTTTAATAAAATTTGCAACCACGGTGTCATTTTGACACCTACCAAAAGCAATCACGTAGCGTCGAGGGGAAAGGTTGCCTCTTGGTTTTTCCCCTACTTGGGGGAGACAACGGGAGGCTGCCAAAATTTTTACTAAAATACCGAACTTGGACAAAATTTGAACAAATTGAACTTGAACTCAAAATTGAGCTTGCAAGGACAACAAGGGACTCGAACAGAAGAGGCTCATATTAAGTCTGAACTTTACTTGAACATATGGAGGACTTTCTTTGGGCTTGAACTTGAATTCGCAATGAACTCAAGCAAGCTTTGTTTGAATACAAATAACAATGATTCAAACTTGAACTTGATTGAAGAAATTTGGGACTTTATTATGATTGAATGGAAGGAAACTTAAATCAAACTTGATTTGAACTTAAGTATTGATTTGAGTATTAAGTGGATAAGATTTGAATTATTTGAACATAAGCAAAATAACTTGCAAGTTTGAACTTGTAAGCCTCTGACTTGATTGAACTCAAAGGATAATATGGGACTTATGCACTTGATACAATCAACTAAGTTTGTGCTACAAGGAATTGAACTTCAAGGTCATTAAATACATGATTGAAGATAAAATGCTAAAATCAGGTGATGGCTTTAATCAATCAAATGCATATCAACAAATAAGTGTGAGACTCATGTTGAATAAAACTATGCTGCACACTAGTGACAAGTAATTAAACTAGTTGGGCAATTACAAGCATATGCAACAGTTCGTTGATCATTGTGTACTGGAAGTCTGATAACGAATATAACATCTTCCCGACACTTAACATCAACCAGCTTATGGGTATATTGGCCTATCTACAAATAATTATAACCCAAAAAAAGGGAATGTAGAAATATCTTATGGTTCATATGCGAGTAAGAATAACAAATCTACTACAATCATGAATATCAAGGAACAATTGTAAGATTAACCACAAGTAATTGTAGAAGATTTTCACATGCATGAGTGTCCATATACAACATGTATGATTGTCCACCTATAACATGCAATGAGTGTTTCATGCCTACAAATAAAGAAAGAGAAAGCTCCTAATGAATAAGTCAATCCCCTAAAATAATGATACAAGTAACATTGAGCTTGTATTGTTCATGTCAGTTAGTCACCGAATCTACATAAAAAAGCTTGAAGGCAATAGTGAGTGGAGTTATTAGCAAATACGACAGTGGACATGTAAAGGGGACGATAACCTACCAACAAAATATGTTTAGAAATATTATAGCAAATATGGCTTGCTTGTAACTGACGTTGATCAGCATACATAAAGAAACTGGCAGAGAATGCAACACATGTAGCGAGCAAAAATAGTTTGCAAATGAGACATTTAATCCACTTGCAAATGATGATAGTAGAAGCATTACAGTATAATGGGTCCCTCTGTAAGCATGGATATGCCATACATCGTTCATAAATAAAGGGTTAAAAACTATTATACATACAAAAAGACAACAAAAAAAGCAAGCACCTACAAACCAATGTAGAAGATTTCTCATGCATAGAAATAATGGCAGTCAATGTGTAGGTCCACCATAGTCTTGTAAGAAGTAATGGTGGTCTTTGCAAACAATAACAACAAAAAGATTACGAGGATAATCGACATTCCATGGATATAAACATACATGCAACACATCATCCACGGGCAAGGATAGTATACTTGCAATACATACAAATCAATAGCTATACATGGGTAGTCTAAAGCAGGAGATTAGTTAGTACACTATAATCCAACTACAGAAAGTAGTAAGTAGTGCATGACAGTCTATATGTACAGAACAACAAATAACTATATTCAAAAACTGCTGCTTAACGCCACCGAATCCATAACACTCATACTAACGGACAGAAGGCGTGTATAAATTCTCAAACGAAATGTTGTGCATTCAAATGGCAATTGCTTGCATGATTGAAATATTGCAAAATACACTCACACGTGCACCGTAGTTTGTATACACATAGATACACAAGGGGTAAATGCAATCATAAAACCTACATGTGCCCCGGCAAGCATGTTATTGGTATTCACGTGACATATAGGGATGCTACGTGGGTTATTAAATTTTAACTCGACCCTCTATAGTAGGAAAAATAGAGTAGACAGGGTATAATTATAAAATGCCCCCAAAGACTAGCATGTATCCCGATGAGCATGTTATCGGTACACATGTGACATCTAGGGATGCTGCACGGGCTGATAAGTGAATTCAAGTTTGAACTCGATCCTTCTATATAGATCAATAGGAGTTCACAAGGATTGAACCACTAAACAAATATAAGGTTACGATGACCAGTATATTTATTTTAATATATTCATATTAGGCCTTTAAGGCCTATAATCAAGATAATCC